GACCCTAGTAAATGTTGCAATAGCTATCTCCAGATCTAGAAATTGTGAAAAAGGTCTGAAACATAGCTCTAATACCACAGCATAATTACAAATGCTCAAAAGTGTGGTTTATACTTTATCTTAAAACAAAACAATTATAGGGCATAACTTCCTCAAATAAGAACCATTTCATAAGAACTGAGGGAATGGATTCTGCATTAAACATTTCCAAAGAGTTCCCGAGACCAAGAATGGTGGACCTTCCCTTCCAGCGACTGGGATCCCAAAGATCTTGAAGCCAGTCCTGAAAGGCTTGCTCTTTTGCAGGAAGTCCTGGTGGCTTTTGAGAGGAAGATAGAGAACTGTTCTGGAAAATTTCAGTGGTAGTAGAGGTGAGTCACTGACATGAAGAATGTGTCCAAGGAGTACAAATAGTCATTTTCTCTTATTAAGAGTTTATTCTTCCTTGATACCCAGTTTCACCAACGGGAGTTGGAAATCTTAGTGTTTGTTGGTCAGAGTTTAATGAATAGACTAAAGTAGACAGAGCAAGTAGCATTCCTTCCTGTCCACACAAAACATTTTAAGAAGCTTTCAAAGATGTCATCTTCAAGAAGACTATGCTAGGCAAATATTTGATACATGAATGCTGTAATTGTTTCAAATCTATTTTTGTATATAGTCTGCTTGGATGAGAGTTTTCAGAATGTTAGATTGGATTTGTCACCTTTTTTGATCCTAAGATGGTTCAGCTAGCTGTGAAGACGCTTGTGAGCAGGAAGTCCCCGGGCTCTGACTCAGATGGCTGCTTGGACACCTTAGCTAAGCTTCCTGCGCATGGCGCTTAATTTTTAAACAATGCATGATTAATATAGCCCCTTGATGTTATTTAATTTGAGGGAATAGGAAATATATAGACATTAGGCAAACAGCAAAGTACCTAAAATGTGTCAAGTGAAAAGTCTCCCACTTCAGCCATCCAGTTTTGTTTTGTTTTTGTAGAAGCAACCATATCTATCAATTTCTTGGGTGGTCATCCTGAAATATTACATGCTTGTGCATAAATGTATAGGTGTTTAAATATCCTGTACCAAAAGTCTTTTAATCTGGACTTAGATTATTTTCCCTGTCCCTTTCTAAGCAAATTGGCAGAAGCGTTTTAAATAGTTTTATCCGTTTTCCTCCATGTTTAACATAGATGCATGTAAGAGTCTTCTTTTAATACTAATGTTTAAGATTACATTGGTTAAATTTTAACATATTTAACATTGGGATTTAGAAGATATAATTGCTACAGTATCTGCTAATCACTTGTAACATTGCAATAGTAATCTCAGTTCTTTCTGTTTTAGCATCTGCTCTTATAATTTCATGTTTATCCCATTTTAAAACCAAACATTAAGCTCCAAAGGGAAGATCAGTACACATGAAAATAATTATTTGTGAAAAATACGTAGCTTACCAAAATAAAAATTAGTGTGAATTTTAGTTTACTCTCAGTGACTGTTGGCCAGCTGTAACTCAGTGTCTGATGGGGAAGGTGCAGGAAACAGTACAGAAATAGCTGAGAGGACGGTGCTGGGGGGAAAGGGAAGATGCACCAAGATCAAGGAGACAGGAAATCCAAGGAGCCGTGCTGCTTAGAAGATGGAATCTGTGTGAATTGAGTTGGGCTAGTACCAGTACAAGTCATACAATGCATCACTTATTTGGCATACACAGTTTTGCTTTCCAAGAATTTAAACAGACATTTAGTTTCACAAGTTTGCCTTTTATTATGTTTACTTATTTCATGATATTGTCAACGATTTAACCTGGGTACATTTGTTTTCTATCTTCTTATTATCTTCTGTCTTCACACATTTATTTCAAGTCTTTGTTTTCAGTAAAACTGTTCATGTGTGCTGCTTAATTACTATTTTGTTACTGGAGTAGCCCCCAGTGACATAAAACAGGACTTCATTTTTTAACATGCACATATAATACTGCTATTTAAAAATAAATGAAATTTACCTGATTCTGCCTATACATTTTTCATTTATTTCCCTTTTATTACATTTGTTTAGTTTTTATTTTATGATTTTGGTTATTAAATTAATTAGCTCAATAAATATTGCCAGCTAAAACTTAAAAAGGATAAACCCAATGCTCTTCTATCTCTGTAAAAACTCAAACATTTAAAGCTGTTTTAGATTACGTGCATTAATGTTTCTAGGTATAAAACTAGAATTGGGTGAAATGTTTTCTGCTTGGGGGAAGCATTGCGATTTCAGATACTTTTAGAAACTTCTATGTAGATTGTGATGGCAGTAAATCAGACTGTAGATGCTTTTCAGCACTTGAGTTCATGGAGTGTGTTTTGAAATTTCAATTTCAAATGCGTGAATTTTGGGGAATGCTTTGTTCGCTATATGGAGAAACTAAAAACAAATTATAGATGAGGACAAACATAATAAATTTGTTTCAGATTTATTAAATTTCCATTTGCTTTATTAGACCACAAAGCAAACTCATCACAATTGCGTCTCTTCCAACCCATAGCAAACGCTACAGGACAGCATAGAACTGCCTCTCTCAGTCTCTGAGACGGTAACTCTTTACTTGAGTAGGAAACCTCATCTTTCTCCCTTTATTACACTACCTCCAGGTAATATTTGCATTTACAGATGTAATGGTGGTGATTTAGGATGATAATACTTCAATCAGAAGAATACAATACAAACAATCTAAGAAAATAAAAAGTATAAAATGAAACCAGACCAAGTTTAATGAAACAAGTGAATGAAATTCATTTTAAAATGTTTTGTTTACTGGGAACCCCCACCAGCCCCCTTTTGTGTAATGGAAGTGTCTTCTTAGCAAGTGTGGCAGCTGCCACTGCTGCAGGAAGCGGATTTACAGATGTTTCCCACTGAGTGTCACATAAAGAGTACAGAGTGCTTTAAAAAATGTCTTTAAGTGGCATCTTTATTATGAACTGTAAAGTTAACTAACTTTTCAAGTATTTTGGTATATTTGTATATTTTTCTTTAAGGAAAAGAATCTTTGCCTTTGTATTTAGTATATTACTAATTATCAAGAATATCAGTAAATTTTCTGCTCATGGGGTATAAGGTTTAACATTGTTTTTAAAATTTCAAGTTTTGTTAGCATGTCACATTAGTTTTTAAAACTAATTTTAAAATAAAATTTACTAATTTTAAAATAGTCACCACCATTTTTTGCAACAACTTAATGTAATCTTTGCATTAAAAATACCTTCTTTTTTCATACATGAAATGAGATAGAGACGAAATATTAAATGATATGACTTTAATAAAGTCACAAGAAAAATTTAAGGTTCCACCTAAAAACCCTGAAATTTTGGTTACTTTTACTTTTACAAAAGTACTGCTAATATTGATGTGATTAAACTCTCATTACCACAATCAATTTTAGATCATAATCTTCATTCTTGTACTTGTCGTTATTTAACTCCCCTTTGTCCCCTAATCTCCCTGCCTCTCAAGGAGCCATTAATCCAGTTTCTGCCTCTCTAGATCCACTTATGTTGGATTCCATATGCAGAAAAATATTAAAAAACAAGCACAAAGTAAAACATCAAAAATGAAAATATTAAAAACAACAAATTTAAGTGGATCATAAGGAAAATCAAATGATAGTAACTAAATTTTAACCTGACTGCATCTGTAACAATCCACTTTCTAATGCAGTCTGCATATTAGCTAGGCTATTTGCATCCCTGGTCCCTGGTCAGAGGGGATTCCCCAGGGACCCTTCACTTTTTTAAATTTAAAGGAACAGCTTTAAAACGAGTCTAAGGAGAGATCATTACATTTTGATAGTACATTTTGACTTAACTACGTCTACCATGATTGACTGTATAATGTTTTCTGCCTGATAACAGGGATATTCACATCCCTCAACTATGGTCAGCGTGGATTCACTAGAGGCTTAATCCATGTGTGGGCACTGCAAATGGATTTTGGTCCGGCACTGTCATTCATAGCCTTCTGCAAACTAGGTGTTCACAGGTTAAGCTCTGATGCTTTTCCCTCCTTTAGATTTGCTTCTTCCCTGTGGACTTAGTTGACGCCTCACTTAGATGGCTGCTTGTTGAAAAACGTGCCTTTAAGACTGTAGACACTATCTTTCTGATAGCCAGGTGCCATACTCTGCTGTAGCACCCAAAAAAAATCATAGCATTGTGAATGAGGGGGAGTGCGGAGTGGGGACCCAGGGCCCATCTATGTGAAATTGGACATCCCCTTGCTGAAAGGCTGTGGGGAGGAGACGAGCCAGTCAGGGTACAGTGTAGCAAAGATGAAACATACAATTTTCCTCTAGCTCTTGGATACTTCCTCCCCACCACTATCACAATCCCAGTTCTACTTTACAAATCCGGCTGGATGGGAGGATGTACACTGGTACAGATAGGAACTGGAAACACGGGGAATCCAGGACAGATGAACCCCTCAGGACCAGTGGTAAGAGTGGCAATACTGGGAGGGTGGAGGGAACGTGAGGGAGAAAAACAGATTACAAGGCTCTACATGTAACTTACTCCCTATGGGTCGGACAACGGAGAAGTGGGTGAAGGGAAACATCGAATGGTGTAATAAGATATGACAAAATAATAATTTATAAATTATCAAGGGTTCATGGGGGAGGGCGGGGAAGAAAGGAGCTGATACTGAGGGCTCAAATAGAAAGCAAATGTTTTGAGAATGATGATGGCAACATATCTACAAATGTGCTTGACAATAGATGGATGCATGGATTGTGATATGACTTGTACGAGCCCCCAATAAAATGATTTTTTTAAAAATGGAATGGCTAAAATATTTCTAATTTGTAATCAAGGGTATAATTTTAGTTATGATATGAATATTTTTTTAAGATGAAGATTATGTATTGGTAATAAGTGTTACCTGGTAATTCACATATGCATGTATATGTATGTGTGTATAGGAATTATACTGTAGTCTACATGTGGGTAATGAAAAATATTTTTCTTACAGTGCATGCAAGATATGGGAAATACTAAAGCAAGACTACTCTATGAAGCCAATCTTCCAGAGAATTTTCGAAGGCCACAGACAGATCAGTATCCTTTAAAATATTGTTTGTTGTAGATTAAAAAAAATTTAACCTGTTTGACTTGTTCATATTTATCTTTGGATCTTGAGAGAGGTGTACCATACTGTTCTTCACTAATGATATAGATTTGCCCAAAACTGCATTTGTGAACATCCTGAGTACTGTTTTTTCATTTCCAAAGGGACTTTTTTTGGTTAGTTTTATGTTAATAATTTTAATTATTACATGAAGCAAGTTGGAATGTTAGTTAATGCATATAAAAGACAAATTACACATTTAGTATGTGGGAATGCTAAGATGTTTGTAAATATTTAGTACTGACAGCCCTTCTTTGTCTCAGGGTGTACAAATGTGTTACCTTATGAATTTCATCTAAAGAATGAATAGAGTGTTTTCTTAGGCATTTTCCAGGAATTCCCCATTTGTTAAGATAAAATTTTGACTTTACTCATTTTATTGGTACATAGCATACAATTTAATCATTCAATCTTATTAAAAGATTTGTGCAGTCATCACCACAGTCAGTTTTGGAACATTTCCTTCTTGTACTCATTGTTATCTCGTCATTTCCTCCCTAACCTCCCTGCCTCTCCCCTAGGTAATTGTTACTCCAGTTACCATTTCTAGATTTACCTATCTAGCAATTTATTATATACAGAAAGTCATGCACAACACAAACAGGAAACAAACAAACAAAAAACCCTAACAATGATTTGACAAAACAGAAAGAACTTAATTGAAAATCAGAAAATATTAAAACGGAAATTTTAAAATCGGTTAACATGAAGACAAGTACAGAGGGTGAAGAATTAGAATTTTGACAGATTAGGTTTTAAAATAATCAATTATATATTTTGCATATTTATATAGAACAATCTTGATCATACTAAGTTTTCAAGATATATGATCTTTTCCCACAGAGAAAGTCTTGCCATTATATTCATGGGGGTAAGTCTAAAGGTATTCTAAAATCCTAGAAACCCTTATTAAACAGAAATTGTACAATGTGAAGCTATTGTTTCTTGACTATAACTTGTTTTATACACTTTAACTTTACCCCAAAGAGTTCTGATCTTTTATTTACATTGTATAAAAACAGTTTGTCATCATGAAATTCAAATTTTACTCCTTTGAAATGTTCTTTGAGTTTGAGTAATAAAATGATGTTAGATGGGACAGGAGTCAGGGCTTTTAGGATGATGTGTTAAGACTTTCCTAGGAAATTCTCCTAGGACACTCCTGGCTACCCTCAAAGAATGAACAGCTGCCTTGTCAAGATGGGGAAACGTTCCTCAGCTATAATTTCTTAACCTTTTTATCATGGATATAGTTTAGTTTCCCCAAAACTTCTCCCTATGAGCCCTGTGATCATCCTGTGTCCTTTGAGTCTTTAGAAACCCTCAAGTAATCACCAGAGCCCTCCGATCTGGCAACTGGCACCCAGCAGGTCCCTTGAGAGCCAGTATTTTGATCGGACCTTTTCTTTTTTGAAGCCACCCTAATAAGACTAAACAACCAAAAGACCTCAAATTCACTGCCATTGAGTCGATGCCAACTCATAGTGACCTTATAGGCAAAGGTAGAACTGCCCCTGTGGGTTTCTGAGACTAATTCTTTACAACAGTAGAAATCCCTGTCTTGCTCCCGTGGAACCGCTGATTGTTTCGAACTGCTGACCTTATGGATGGCAGCTCTACATGTAACCTCTGTATCACCAGGGCTCCTCTATGAGCCCGAGACAGGTATATTACTGAGAGGCCTTGTGTGTAGCCATTCACTGATCATGCAGAGATATTCAAACATGTTTTGTTGGGATGAACCCATGGATGTATGAACTGGTCCTAGTTGAGATGCATTTTCCTTGTATTTTTATATTAGAACAAAAATTTTTAGAAGTCTATTAGAACTTTACATTTGCGTGTACCTCCTACCCTCATCTCCTCCCACAAATTTAGCAATTTGCTATCCTAAGTTATTTTTTGTTACAGATAATGTAGTGGGATGTACATTTCAGGCATAAGGAATTGTGTAATTGAAAATAAGGCGTGAGGAAATATTTTTAAAATGTAATGTTACAGAATTTGAGTTTTGTAGGAAAAGTGGCTGAGAAAGTATTTTTGTGTGGTTTTGTGAAGGAATTTTTTGGTGTGGTTTGTTGAAGGGTGTAATAGAATACTTTTGCCTTATTTAATTGGCCCACTGGGAAACCATGAATGGTTTTGAACCGGGAGAAACAGAAATATTACTTATTTCACCATGAAGTTAGGTTGGAGTTAGGTGTGGAGATCCTGGCAGCAGGGAAAACTAGTGCAGCCCTGGCCTGAAACGAGCAGTGATAAATGTTAAACATTAGATTGTGGCACTGAGCTTGGATTGGAGGGAATTGGAGATTCTGGAATGAAATGATGAAGGCAGAGCAGTTGGACTAGGTGAAGATGGGCTTTGGTTTTGAGGAAGACACTAAAATGACCTCGGGGCTTCTGGCATGGGTGACTGATTGCAAGGCCCATTCACTGAAAGATAGCAGGGCTGGAACTGAAGTTTCGTTACTTAGAGCAGTTTGCTGCTTGTGGCTAGGTATGTAAAGATACTCATTTTGGTGGGTGGGAACATGAGTGTGAACTCCAGCAGAGAGCCAGAAATCCATGCTGAGGACTGACTTGGCATGCAGGTGATATAAAATGCATTGGTTCTTGACTCCTTTTTGAGTCTCCTGAGAATCACGGGAATAAGAATCTTGGGAAATGAAAATCTGAAAAGAGAAAGCCTAGAGCAGACCCTTGGGGGAAGAGGGCATTGTAGAATAAAGTACAGTCAAACATTAAGTGTATTTTGCCACATGCTTGGAGGTTGAATTAGTTTGTTTTCCTCCTTTCTGCTTATCCCTCCAAGCCCAAAGTGACACGAGACAGTCTAAGATGAAGAATATACCTTTTATGGAAGAGTGGTTATGGGTTTGGTTTCAGTCGGGTTTTTTTAATATTATAAATTTACATGACATTCTTTTTCTTTAATCATTTTATTGGAGGTTCGTAAAACTCTTATCACAAGCCATATATACATCCATTGTGTCAAGCACATTTGTACGTTTGTTGCCATCATCATTCTCAACATTTGCTTTCGACTTGAGCCCTTGGTATCAGCTCCTCATTTTTCCCCTCCCTGCTCCCCACTCCCTCATGAACCCTTGATAATTTATAAATTATTATTTTGTCATATCGTACACTGTCTGACGTTTCCCTTCACTCACTTTTCTGTTGTCCATCCCCCAGGGAGGAGGTTATATGTAGATCCTTATAATGTGTTCCCCCTTTCCACCCCACCCTTCCTCCACCCTCCCGGTATCGCCACTCTCACCACTGGTTCTGAAGGGATCATCTGTCCTGGATTCCCTGTTTCCACTTCCTGTCTATACCAGTGTACATCCTCTAGTCCAGCCAGATTTGTAAGGTGGAATTGGGATCATGATAGTGGAGGTGGGTAGGAAGTATTTAGGAACTAGAGGAAAGTTGTATGTTTCATCGTTGCTACACTGCACCCTGACTGGCTCATCTCCTCCCAGTGACCGTTCTGTAAGGGGATGCCTACAGATGGGCTTTGGGTCTCCACTCTGCACTCCCCCTCATTAACAATGATTTGATATTTTGTTCTTTGATGTCTGTCTGATAACTGATCCCTTCGGCACCTCGTGATCACACATACTGGTGTGCTTCTTTCATGTGGGCTTTGTTGCTTCTGAGCTAGATGGCCACTTGTTTACTTTCAAGTTTTTAAGACCCTAGACGCTATATCTTTTGATAGCCGGGCTCAATCTTCACCATATTTGCTTATGCACCCACTTTGTCTGTGAGCATCAAGGAATACCAGTTTAATAGAACAAAGTATTTTTCCATTGAGGGAATGCTTGGGTGGAGGCCCAATGTCCATCTGCTACTTTAATGCTAGCCTATACATATATGCACATAGATCTATTTCCACATCCTCATATATAACTGTATTTACATATGTACATACTTTTATTTAGACCTCTATAAATGCCCTTTGCCTCCTAATTCTTTCCTCTCTTTCCTTTTACTTTCCTCTTGTCCCACTATCATGCTCAGCTTTCATTTGGGTTTTAGTAATTCCTCTCTGTTACATTACCCTTGATCACATCCTACCAGGCCTCCTACACCCTCCTCACCGCTGATCTGGAACACTTGTTGTTCCCCTGTCCCTGAGTTTATTAATACCACTTCCTTTCCCATCCCATCCCCCTCTATCATGTCCCCCCAGAATAGTCGGTCCCGTTGTTTTCTCCTCCAGACTGTTCATCCTGCTTGTCTTATTTAGACAGAGCTGCGGAGATAATAACATGCACAAAAACAAGACAGAGCAAATCAAAGCAACAAAAGAAAACAAAACAACAACAACCAAAAGCCAATGACAAACAACAACTAAGAAAAGCCTGTAGTAAGTTCAAGGACTGTTTGTTGGCCTTTAGGAATGTTCTCCAGTGGAGTCTGAAGGGGTGCCAAGCCCTGGCCCCAAAGTCTATTTTTGGTATTCCCTTGGGAACTTCGTTGCTCTGTTCCCCTTGCTGTTCTGTTGCATTCCCTTAGTGTTTTGCCTCGATGTGGTGGGATCAGATAGGGCGCAATTCCCACACTGTCTCCAGTGTTGTCCCTGTAGGGCTATGGGTCTTGAGGGATGTCATGTCTCACTGGATTGGCTGCTCTGAGTGGGAATATCGGACTCATGGGTTGGTGGACCAGGATGTGTTCCACTCTCTCTTCCTCCCCCTTCATTTGCTCCTGTGTGCTCTGATCAGACATGTTCCTCTCCTTGAGCTGCAGCTTCAGTGCTGTCCTCTGAACTAAATTCTTCTGGGGAGAGGGGCAGCTGTCCACGTAGTTGGGATTGAGGCCGTCTCTCAGATCTTCACTGGTTCCCTACTCCATGCCAGTATGCTGCATTTCCATCTTGGGAGCACTGGGTTGAAGTCTGGCCCCTCTTTCCCTGTGGAGA